CCAACCCCCCTCCACCTCCAGCCGAATGGTTTGCTCCGAGCGCCCTATTTAATCCCCGCGACTGCAGCAGCGCCGGCTCCCTCCCGGTCCCCACCTCGGCCCCGGGCTCCGAAGCGGCTCGGGGGGGCGCCCTTTCGGCCGGCGTCGTCGTCCGCCCGCTCCCCCGCGCCAGCCCCCGGGGACCCAGGCTCGCCAGCGCCCAGCCAGGGAGCCGGCCGGGAAGCGCGATGGGGGCCCCAGTCGCCCTGCTCCTGCTCCTGCTGTTCGCCTGCTGCTGGGCGCCCGGTGGGGCCAACCTCTCCCAGGACGGTGAGTGAGGGAGGGGGCGGCGCCAGGGGAGGTGAGGGGTGACCTGAGGCGGGGGCTCGGCCCGCCGGGCGGAGGGAGCCTGTTGGCTTTGTTTGGAAGCGGGGGTTAAAGTCGCCACCGCTGCTGATACCCTTGTGTCTGTCTCTGAGCATCCGTGTCTGCGTGGACTGTGGGGTGCGCCGGCGCGTGCATCCCCGTGTACACCATCGTGTGTCTGCGTGTGCACCGGGGCGTGGGTCTCGGGGCCGCTGTCCGTCCGGAGCAGCCGGGTCTGGATGTGCGGCTGCCCGTGCGTGTGCGCGCGCGTCTGTGTTGGTGTCTGGCTCTGCGTTTCTGTGTCAGTATCTGTGTGTATGTCTGTATCTGTGTGTGTTGGGGGCGGAGTGAGATTTGTCGCTGTTTCAGGCAGGGCGTGTGTCGGGTGTTTGTGTATGTCTGTCTGTAGGGGTTGGGTAGCCAGTGCAATCCCCCAAACTGCTGTATGCAAACATTTCTGCTCCTCCGCCCGTCCCCCACCCGCGGCGGAGCTCCGAGTGGGCAGAGAAGGGGGCCCGGGTGAGGCTGCTGAGGGGGGCGTGGGCAAAGGAGGGGGCGCTCATCCTTGGAGCAAAACAACAACACAGGGCGGAGGGGCCCAGGATGGCAACATCCCTAGCGGTGGCAGAAGATGGGAAAAGAAACCTAGTCGGGAGCAGAGGGGGGTGAGAGGGAGGGCGGGAGGCTGGGCAAAAGAAGGAATCAAGATATTTGGGGAGGAGGATGCGTGGAAAACCCGAAGCCTTCCTGGGCTGCACACCGATTCCCCCAGATTTCGGGTGAGGTAGCATACCCAGCCTCTCTGCCCCAGTCTGGAACTCCAACCTCCGTCGATTGGCAACGGTAAAGAGACGGAGGAAGGGAGTCGGGGGAGAAAGGAGGCGGGGCCGGGGTGAGGGGACTTGGGGAAGAGCCCCTCCCGCCCTGGGCCGGGCTATGTAGGTCAGCGCTGTGGGGGCACCTCAGCTTTCGCAAAGGCTGCTGACGGTTAATGGGGGTGGCGTGGGGCAGTTGTAGGGAGACAGGGAAGGGACCACAGCTCAGAGTCTCAGGTCCCCGGAGGAAGGAGGACAGCAGTGAGGGACTGAAGGAATGCATCCTTCTCTCTCCCTCCGCCCAGTCGAGGAGAGCTGGGGTGGAGGAGGGGGGAAAGGGAACGGGACCTCTGCGGAGCAAAGGCAAGTGGGGAGAATGAAAGGGGAAGTGGGGAGAGTGAAGGGGGAGGATGGTGGCTATGCCCGGCCAGATGCCAAGGAAAAACAGAAAGAACCGCAGGGGAGGAGAAAGGGGAGGTGGCTCCTGGGCGATGGACCCAGTGGCCAGCAGGGATGGGCACAGGGCGGGGCAGGGTGGAGAGGGGAGGGGTTGAAACTGGGGAGGATGATGTAGAGAATTTCATCTGAGGAAAACAGGGCAAAGAGCCAGGGTGCTGGAGGAATAATTGCTCTACCTCACTTGACCTCCTTCCCCAGCCCTGTCTCCATCATGATAAAGGAGCTTTCCCTGGTGTGGGGACCCTGGGGATCCCCTCTCTACAGCTGTCTGGCTGACTCCTCCCACCTCACCCAAAGGGAGTTCCCGCCCCAGTCGCCACAGAGACCACAGCTGCTTCTTTCCCTACATGGAATCCCTTTTCCCCCAGAGAGCTGCCCAGGTGACCCAACTCACTGAGGAGTTGAGGAGAGCCCTGAGGGAGAGCAGGCTAGGCTCAAGTAGAGAGAGGCTTCTGGATGTCTGTGCCTCAGTAATGACCGTCCTATTAGCCCTTGACTTTGAACTGTAGCCCCTAGTCTTCCCAACCTGCTAGGTTAGTTTTATAAAGAGAAGCATATATGACCCAAACTGCAACTGTTCAGCAATGGGAACTGATAGACTGATAGTGCTAGGCTGAAACCTAAAAAGAGAGGAAGACGTCATCCAGAAAGCTGTGAGCTCTTCTACTCTAGGATATATATATATTTTTTAACTAGAGACTTAGAGTAAATCAGTATACTGGCCAAGTCTTTCTTCACCAACTACATTATTCTTTCTTGGTCTTCAACTTGGGGGTCCAGCCCCCATCCAGGCTTAAAGTTGAGAGGAGGAAAAATGCTCTATCTTCATATTTAGATACATGTCAAAGCAGTGGCTTGAGAGAAAGAGTGAAGGGCACTAACTTCTGAAAGTAGAATATCTAGAGAAGAGATCAGGAAGTGGGAGACGGGAGGAGGGGTTTGTTTTCAAGGATGAATCAAATCAAGCATCATCTTTCTTGTAGAACATTATCTCTACAGACAGTGGATATCTGTGTGGTGTGCAGTATCTCAGGACACACTGAAGCACGAGGCATATCCACAATATCTTTTATCTTAAATTAGTTCTAACCCTTAGTTTCTGGATCTAAGAAGGCCAGTGCTGATGGTGGGAGATAGATGCATAGACTTAATGCTCAAGCATGATAATTCTGGAGGCTGTTTTGACCAGAATCGTGCAGAAGATATGTCTAGTTCCCCTGAGTTGGCCTGGGGGCCCTGGGCAGAAAACTAGGCAGTACGTATCTTAACTAGCAATGTTTGACCAAAATTAAGAGAGATGTGGTATGAAGGTTAAGGACAAGATACCTTAAGATACCCTTCTGGTGCTTGAATGGTCAATGGTGTTGTGGTAGGGTGGTTAGGGTGGCAATTTCCATTTACAGTAAAGAAAACAAACTTCATATGTGGCTTAGGTATATAGTTCCCTGTATTACAGCATGAATTGTTTAAGCTCCATAAGACTGAACAGGGATTGAGAGGCTGGAGAAGGACAAGCAATTGATATCTAAGATTGGCCATTAGTGCTGTAGCTGGAAGTTTAGGAATGGCGAAGACATTCAGAATTTGCCACTTGCCCTTGCTTCTCACATTTCTCCATTGGTATTGGCAGAAGTTGGCAATTCCAGGTTTAGGGGATACAAAAGCCTATGAATTTAGTGTTCCCTGTGGTCATCTCTCTGGTGAGCACCTCGACATTCAACATTGTAACCAGCCTCTTGGATTCTCCCATCCCAAGTTATTTCCAGTACTCTGTGAGTTGACCTAGGGTAGAGACAGATAGATGGATAGCTTTGCTTTGCTTTAGACCAGGTTATAGCAATGTAACCTTGGACTACACTGCCCCATACATGAATATCTTTTCCTTTCCAATGACCTTCTGTCCACTCCCATCCATTCTGCAACCCCCTGGCCAGGTGCCCAGTGTGGAGCTCATGCCCAATGTGCCGGAGAAGTCTAGCAGGCATTCACTCTAGTGCTGCCTACAGATCTGTTTGGCAGACCTACCCCATCCAGTTTCTGTTTCCGGTTGCAGCTGTAACTGTTCTGTTCTGCTTCCATCCTGTTCTTCTCCTAGTTGCAGCTGTAACTCCTAGGAAAGATATGCTGTCCCTTTAGACATGTGCATTTTCTGGCACAGAAGAGTTGAGACTATCAGAGAGACACTAGCATAATAGAGTTTAGTTAATTCCATGAAGAACCAGTCTGTCTGATGTAGGGCCCAGTCTTTAAACTGTCAACTGCTTACCAAGCAGTTATGCCAAACATCTATTCTAAGCCTTCCCCTAGGTCTGAACAGCACTGTTGGCTTTAATGGTTTCCACCAGGGCAGTGGTTTTCTCACTTTGCTTAAAACAAAAAAAGATGTGAAACCCCTTTAACAAATAAGTAAAACAGATCAAAGGAAAATTGCTCTTGAGAGAAGTAAGAGCTGTAGCCTTTCCTCCTTCTTATCAGCTTCCCCATATTCCTGTAATCCTTAAGGCACTATCTGGGGTTCTGAGGCTCAGTTCCACATCCTCTGCCCTAGACTGATAGGAGGAGTCAACTCACTATCCTTGGGCTTTCTCCCCTTGCTCATCCAACTGAGGAAGAAAGGAGGCCCAAATCTAATTTCAAGAGTGGCTACTTGGAGATATTCACTATTCACTTAGAGTGACTCATAGTTATGCAGCCAGAAAATTCCACAGACAGCATTGTCTTGGTATTCTGGTCACTGTGAAATCGCAGATTGGGTAGTTATGCCATGGTTCTATAAATTCTTAGATTTGTTTTGGGGACTCCTTGATGTTACTGCTTTCTTGTAGTCTAAATAATATGTAGGGTGAGATCAAAAGTTGCTTTTCTTTAAGTCACATGGTAGGAAAAAAAATCTCCACAAATATCATCAGAGATATAAAATCCCTGGGGCCATGACTAGTCACATTCTTTGTTGTTTTCTACTCCAGTGAAACTGTATACTGGCTCAACAATCCCTTTCTTGTTATCTAATTCTCAGTAATGAAAGTTCACCCACAGATGGTGATCTAGGTTCCAGATTCTCCTTGAAGGCAAGCTGTGGCCTAGACCAGTTCCTTCCTGACTACTGAATGAAAAATCCAAAGTTATTAAAAAGTTTTGGTAATTATAGCTTATTTTATTTTCATGTTATAATTTAATGTTTCATGCATACCATTGGCTATAGACCATATACTGCAACATTTTGTTTCCTATATGGGATCATGCTTTAGAGGTCCACCAGTAAACTCTGAGAACAGCAATCCACATGGAAATGCTTATGAGAGACAGAGAGAAATAAGCCTTCCAAACCTTCCAAAAAGGAGCCTGGAGAAGCAAGCAATCAGAAAAAGATTCTGTTTCTGAGAGCTTGGTCAAATTAAGTATAAACACTTTGTGTCACTGTAAAATGAAGAAGAACAAGTCTCCAGGGCTAACCACCTGTCTCTGCCTCGAGGATTAGCAGTAGTGATGGTTTTTTTTACAAGGTCAGCACCAGCGGATACTTGGGGCTCCTGTAACTACCTAAGTAAAAACCCAATCCAATCCTGTTATATATGACAAGGAGATCCACCCCTTCTCTACCGAGAAGGTAAACTCTCAAAAGTCTTGAGCACGTGAAGTTGTTGAGATTTTTACACAATAGAGGATCAGTAAAGATACATATTCTTCACT